CCCCAAAATGCTACCTGTATTGTTAAAGTTTAATCATAGGATAATTTAGGTTGGAAGGGCCCTATGGAGGACATATACTACAATCTCCTGCTCAAAGCAGAGTCAAGTGAGGTCAGAGCAGGCTGCTTAAGTCTTTATCCAGTCAGATCTCAAAAAACTTGAAGGATGGAGACAGCACAACTTCTCTAAGCAACCACTACTCAACTGTCCTTGTGACAAAGCAGTTTTTCATTCCATCCAGACAGAGCTTCTCTTGTTTCAACATATACTTGTTGCCTCATCCTCCCACCACGCAACACTGAAGAACCTGGCCTCATCTTCTAGTTATCCTCCTCCTAAGTACTGCCAGGCTGTTGTCAGGCATCTGGGAAACCCTTTCTTCTCCAGGCTGAATAAGTGCAGTTGTCTCAGTCTCTGCTCATAGGCTAAGTGCTCCAGCCTCCTGACTACTTTGGTGGCTTGTGGCCTTTTCTGAGCTTGCTCCAGTTTGTCAGTGTCCTTCTTGTTTTAATGGACACAGAGGTGGCTGCAGCATTCTAGATAATGACCACTGAGCAAAAGGCGATAATGACTTCCCTTGATCTACCATCTGTGCTTCTGTTAATATCACCACGTTGCTGTTGGACTTCTTTGCTGCCAGGGGACACCAGATAGCTCGTGTACAGCTTGCTGCCTACAAAGATTACCAGGTCCTTTTCCAGAGAGTTGCATCACAGACAGTACTGTTGCACTGGGTTCCTCCTTCCCAGGACTTTGCATTTGTCTTCACTGAATTTCATACAGTTCCTATTGGTCCATTTCTCCAGACTATCAAGGTCCCTTTGGATAGCAGTCCTGCCCCCAAGCTTAGTAACTCGTCCCTCCAGTTTTATGTCATCTGCAAACTTTATGAGCAAGCACTCTATTGCCTCCTCCAGGTCATAAAGATGTTAAGCAGGACAGGTCCCAAGACAGATCCCTGCAGTACTCCACTTGTTACTGGCTTCCAGATAGAGTATGACCCATTAACAACTCCTCTGTGAGTACAGTCATCCAACCCTTTATTTTTAAAACCATCTTGTTGTCCACCCTTCCATAACATAATGTCTTAACTTGGGTATAATATTTTGGCAGACAGTATCAAAAGCCTTGCTAAAGTTGAGGTGACACCCACTCTTCTCCTGTCATCATATATACTCTCAGAATAACAATGTTTAAATATACACACACACTCTACATAATTATTCTGCTGGAGTACATACAATTGGAAAAGGTAGGAGGCTGGAAGGTATGGGAAAAGCTGAAACTGGATTTACCAATTAGGGGTAACAGGAGGTGATCGAGAAGGAAGGCTTTTGGTCTCTAGATGCTCAACAGATAAAGATCGTCTCATAGATGGGTTCCAAACCATCCCACCTATAACTTTTCTGCAGTACTGGCTGTTTACAGACCTGAAGAAAAAGTAAAAAACTGTACGTGAATTATTTTGTGTAGAAAACTTAAATGAAATAAAATATAAAATTGACTTTCATAAGCATAATTCATGTATTTTAAAGAGCCCCCTGTGCTTACTCCTTCTTACTTATGCATTTGCATTCTCAGAGAGTCATTTGCTGTCCTTCACCTGTGGCAATCAAACTGTTTGTTAATCCCTGCTACAATGCTAATCACAAACCTGGGTAAAAATAACTTTTTCTGAAAGTTATTTTTAACCCAATTGTGTTCAAGAAGATGGAGGGGAAAAACAGGAAATTCGGTATGTCCTATTGGCACTGGTCCAAGTGCCTGACAAAACACAGTTCAAATACAGGCAAAAGACTCTAGACGTTCCCTGTTAAAACTCATAAAGGGGTAACAATTCACTAATGGCTTCATTGAGCACAGGACCACTTTAACCATCTACCTGCTGGCTCAGCAAATAAGTGCTACATCAGACCACTCTCTGTTTCCAGAAGGAAGCCACATTTGGGTAATGTGTTTCTTATAGGAATAAACCATTACAGAAAGAGCTGACACACGAAGGGGATCTCCAAGTTTGGACTGCTGCTTGTGAGAAGTCAAGATAGAGTTTGCACCAGAACCTCAGCTAGGAAAGCAATAAAAATATCTTACTAGTGGAATTATACAGCATAAAGTAAACTTTAAAGCAAATCAAAATTGAGATAAACTAACTTTTATGTATCTTCTTACACAGCATTCCACAAGACAAGCAGAGAGATAAGCTGCTCATCCTCAAATTTACAGGCCTAGGATGTCTCCTCATGGAAAGCAGCATTTTATGAGTTACAGAGAACCCACCTTTGGCCCACTAAGTCCTGAGCTGTACATAATGGGTGCCTGGGATAGCAGAGTAGGTGAGGAATTTACTATAGAGCTGAAATGTCTCAATTTTACATAGCATAAAAAAAAAGTTGTTTGTGCTGTGGATATTACTCATGCTAATATCAAACCTTAAGTATGCTTTGCATTGTACTGCTTTTAGTTTATACAAGTAAAAGAGAAAAAGCAACCAAAACCTATTTTAATATTCTGAAGTATTTTACATCATCTTGTTCATGATTCTAAAGTCTTTCATCTTCTAAATGTGTACTTTTAAAGCTTCTCCCAGTTAAAAAAAAAAAAAAAGAGGGAAAACTTAATATGAAGCATCTATGTCAAAATCAGTTACCCATGTACAGTTTTAAGCTTAGTAAACACACAGCCCATGAACTCAGGAGAAGCTTTTGCCTGTATTATCCATTTTATTTCTGTAAGTCTGCTGAGTATCAATGACAAGGCACCAACTACTCTGGTCTTCTACAAAAACAAAATGTTCTTTCAAAGAAGCCTTATATGGATGGAGTGGAGAGGGAGAGTGGAAAAAGAGGATGTATTACAAAAAATGCATCTTGAAGAATTCCATATATTTTGCATTAATCAGCTTCCTTTTTTTACAAGTGCCTGTTCACGTGTTTTCCAATGCAGGTGACTTTCAAGGTGCAACATAACTCATGTGATGGAAACCAGAGCCCTAATCCCAAACCCCCAACCCTGGTCACAGAATCACTTTAACAGTATGTTCTCTAGATATTTCTGTTAAGGTACATAACATAAACAATCTCCTAAACTCCAAGCAGCTGCTGTTCAGATGTCAAATACAAGGATATTTCTCTCATACTGAGAGGCTGCCAATGCCCTTCTGGAATGGGCTGTAATATCTTGAGGTGACAGTTCCTTACTCCCATCTATTACCGAGATTATCCTTTGTGAAAAAATAGGTACATTTTTAGCTTTTCAGCAAGGAATGAGAATGCACCTGGGAGAGGTTATTCAGCATTCAGTCCAGAAACATTGAATGAAATTACCTCTCAGAATCTGGGAGATGTAATTCAGTCTGCCCTTAGAATAAGGCTTACAGGTGATTTATACAACTCAGAAGTCTATTTTAAATGGCATTCCACTAGCACCTTAAGCTAAGAGAATCTAGAAGGGCACAGAGATGTGTGAACAAGAAACTGTACTAAAGGGTAGAAAGAGTTCAGTTATTTGAACTGATGCAATAAGAGCTAGGATATCTGCCTCAGATGAGTGTAAAAGAACATAGTACAAGAAAGTTACAAATTCCAGAGGAAAACTTGGGATACTTAAGGTGGTAAAACTTGAGTGTAACCTCTTTCAAAGCTGACAGAAGTTTAATGAACAAAGACAAGTCAATCTTAAAATCTCCAGGGTTGTATGGTGTGGTTGGTGTGGGTTTTGTGTGTGGGTTTTGTTTGGTTTTCTTTGGTGTTTTTTGGGTTTGGGTGTTTGGTGG